TTCCAGGCATCTGGCAGTATCTACCAGGGGTCATGATATCCACCGCAGGATTCTGGTTTGCATTGCAGATGTAAAGTCAGACCTGTTGCTAGTGCATTCCAGACCCCCACAGAACTGCCCTTTTTCACAGGTCCGGTTCTTGGATGGGATTTTTAAGTGCAGCATAGGCCCAGAACAGATCTAGTTTGGGGACAAGTGGATTTTTTCAGCTTATTGGGGGATGACATGGTTGTATTGGCTCACTTTAGCCAAAACCTATACTATGCACTAGGCAAAGCTAATAGCTCCTCTAAGTCTGAGGCTATGGCCCTTAAACAGCAAAGTACAGCTTGCCCTCTCCAGACTTCTGCTTTAAGTGGAGATGTATCTAGAGGTCTTTTTCATGAGGTCTTACTTTGCTAATTGATTAATCTGTTAAGAATTGTATTTCTATTTGACCAAGCAGGTACTGTAGGTTTTATTTTTTATTTTAACTGATAATTCTAGCTGAAGGTGCTTAATAGGAGATTTCTTTTACATAATTTATGAAATGCGGTTGCTAATTGAGATGGATTTTTTTAAAGGAACAATTGCTTTTGTTTTTGACCAGTGGTTAGAGAAATAACAGCATGAAAGGAAAACATGCTTTAGAACTCTAAGATGGTAACAGCTATATTAAAATTCAATTCAATTTAATTGAATTCATTTTATTTCTATAGCGCCAATTTACAACACATGTCATGTCAAGGCATTTTACAGTTCACCAGATAATACAGTAAAATTGATTCAAAGTTTTCTGTCTAAGAAAAACCAGTTGATTGCATCGACTCATTGACTCAAAGGCAATCCCTCACACTAAGCATGCTTGTGGCAACAGTGGAGAGGAAAAACTCCCTTTGAACAGGAAGAAACCTCCAGCAGAACCAGGCTCAGTGTGAGCGGCCATCTGCCGAGGCCGACTCGGGTTCAAGGAGACAGAAGCAGAGATACAGAAAGCAACTGTAAAAGGTGATCCTGTCCAGGAAACACACATCCAGGCAGACGAGCTCTGAGCCAACTCCCATGTCAGAGGAAGAAGAGAGCACATCCAGCCAGTCACAGTCAGAGAAACAGGAATACACTTAAAAACAGGCCAATCTCAAACATCTATAAACAAAGGTGTTGATGGCAGCAGCACAGCTGATATTTCTCACCAGGATGGTGTCACAGCCAAACAGGAACAGACGAGGCAATCTACTATGAGAAAAAGCAGAGATAGCATAACATTTGAGACTGAACTAACAGATTCTGCAGAGTAGGAGAATATAGATAGAATGAAGCAGAACCAGAAAACCCTATTGTTCTTAGTTCAAAGTGTCTATAATAAATACTTTACTGCCACATTAGCAGGTACAACTTTACAATGGCTTTGAGAATTAATATAGAACCAGCCAATCACAAGGCCTTATCCCATTGCACGTAGGCAACTAGATGTTGCAAAGACAACATGCTAAACAAGACTTTATAATAGGTATAAAAAGTGATTCAAATATAGGACTTTCAGCCATAGTTGTTTTTCCCAGACTCTCTGCACTGAGCATCTCAAATAAATAATTTCACAAGGAGCAATCTCTCTGATTTAGAGAGAGTGGTCTAAAAAAAACAAGCATCCAGTAGTTAAGAGGATGAAAATGTCCTTTTGATGTCAGAAGCATGGGAAGACTGATCTAAGGAAACACTTAAGTGAATATCCAGTTGCTATAGCCGACTTGGATCTTATACTATCTCTGAAAGCATAATACATCAAACCTTGAAGCAACTGGACCAAAGCAACAGAAGACCAGACTGAGTGTTTCTCCCTTTGGCTAAGAAATTTAAATTAAAGATACAGTCTACAGGGCTTTACATTGGCACAGTGGGTAGCTCCTCTGCTTTGCAGCAAGGCAGAGGACGAAAAATGGATGGATGGAAATAGTAATTCAGCCTCCCTTCCTGAAGACTCTTTTTTTCTTGTTTAGCCGTTCCTTCAGTTCACTGTTGATACTAGGGCTACAACAACGAATCGATAAAATCGATAAAAATTGACTTTTAAAAACGTTGGCAACGAATTTCATAATCGATTAGTTGTGTCGCGCGATTAATGCGTCATCCGCCGCCGCCGTTATCACTGCCACTTGACTGAAACGGGTGAAGAAAAAAAAATTACAGCAGAGCGAGTCAGCGCTGCAGGTGTGCAGTGTTGCCAACTCAGCGACTTTTCAGACCCCTCCAGCAACTATTTTTTTTAAAAAAGCGACTAGCGACAAATCTGGCGACTTTTTACGGTGTCAATGGCGGCTTTTGGAGACTCTTACGTGAAAGCATGTATCGTTCCTACTCTTGTACCCCATCCCAACCCCGTTCTCCCGCAGGAGTCCCTCTCAGCGCTGCAGTCAGAGCCAGCAGGATGTTTACCCTCAGCGTCTAGACTGCAAATGAAGCGCGCATGCCCCGGGATTGACGGCGCAAATTGATCACAATAATTAAAATACCCTTTATAAATAAATTAACTTGCAAATAATGAGGGCAAGGCTTTTAAAGTTTAAATCTTCTGGCAAAGATAAAGTAAAGAAGATCCTGCAATTTATGGAAGTAAAGCAGAATAAAATCCAGTAAGATCAGTAATATGTCAATTAATTATATGCCACATTCCCATGTAAATATCTGTCTTTGGAGGATGTGTTTTTTAGCACCCCTAGTTCTCTCATTTTATTCCAAATACAATTTATAATTTGAAATATTTTTATCTCTATGGTTAAGTATTTTCTCAAGTAGCAACTTTAACTGCTATACTTTCCTGTCTTAAAAGGCAGAACTCTTCTAGTCTAAAAAAATATTATGTGATGAAATGGGGGGACCTATTGTTTGAACCCCTTAGAGGCTTTTAAGAACAAAAATGCCTGTCTTTTTTTGCGCTTTATGAAACAAAGTACCCTATATTTTGTGGATGTACAGCTACATTTCTCATGTAAGTTTGCGTAGTTTTAACAAAAACATTTATTTTTCATATTGCACCAGTACAGTTAATGAGCAACCTGTACTTGTGTGCTTGTTTGTTCTGTCTAAAATGTTTATTTTGGAATAAAGAGGTTAATATAAAACATTTTTTTTTCCCGATTCATCGATTAATCGAAAAAATAATTGGCCGATTCATCGATTTTTAAAATAATCGTTAGTTGCAGCCCTAGTTGATACACTGTTTGCTCATGGAGAAGCATCTCACTGTTCTGATGGGGATGTAGTAATCTAAATTGAAAGTTATAGTTAGTCACACAGTCACAACATTGATATCCTCTTTATGTGTCTGGCATATAGTAATACTCTGAATGAAAAGTGGAAGCCCTAACATCAAGATTACAGGGTGTAGATTTGAGTAAACCATGGATCCATTAAGCATTAAATGACCTAGGTTGCTGCTGGTGATGTTATGGTGTGAGAAGTAATTGATTTTGCATCCCTAAGAAATGTTCAGTTGGTAGTGAATGTTATTACTGATTGTGTACATCCATTTATGACTGTATGTTTTAATGCAGAGGTTCCCAAATTTTCAGCTTTTGACCCACAAATGCTACCAGAGTGGACTCCTCCCTATTGGTTGAGTGTAAAAGCATTTCAACAAAATCAGTTAACCATAGGTTTAATATTACAAGCAGTATTTATAACAATATTGATTAACTTATGCTTTTACATCTGTAAGCACATTACAAACTTTTTTTTTTGTTTTATTTCTGTAGTCGATCTTGGCCCTATACTGATTGATCAAGGACCTCAAAGGGGTCGGCACTCAAACTTTGGGTATCAATGTTCTGATGGCTTGCTCCACCTGGATATTCCAACAAAAATAAAATCTCAAAATGGCTTCTTCAACCCAAGAAGGAGTTTTCTGTTCAAAAATGACCACAGTCACAAGATCTTAATCAAGGTTGAGAACGGATATTTTATAAATCTGGATAATTTGCTTTATTTCATTAAGTCAAGATTGGCCAAAGAATGTTGAGGACCAATTTAGTATAATAAGAAGCACCTAAGTTATCAGTGACTGTTTTACTCAGTAAGAATGGGACCAAGTAAGCGTCAGACAGTAAGAATTTTATCCTCACAGAAGCATTGTTTTGTCATTTGTCTTGTGCTTTTATAATATTTTGCAACACATCATACAAACATGTGAACGTGCCTAAAGGAAAAAGCAAAGCCTCTGGGGATGCTGGGAAAGGAAAAAATCTCGACTTTTTTAATAGTTGCAGATAGTTTCTCATGAGACATTTAGTGAGGTCAGCTCATGAGCCATTTTCCCAGGCTTTCAGCATGATTATCCTATAGAAGGACGTAATGCATTCCTTACCCTTGTATCATAAAATCCTCTGAAGTATATCGACTTACCCCCTAAGTTCAACTCTGTGTATATAAAAAATAACACAGTCATCAAGCAGGGAAATTAAAACGCAGCACTTTATGCTGGATGTATGTAAATTTAATGCTTCTCACAAAGGTATATATTGAAGTAGAGCCACATAAGCAAAGTTTAAGAAAACAGAGCATGTTAAGAAGTATAAAGCTGAAAGTGGGAGATGATTGGTGTGTGTGTGCCTGTTTTAGAAGTTGGCCAGTCATCAGTAGAGTTCTAAGAGCAGTGAAGGAAGTCGTGGTTACAGATGACTCAGCCAAGCCATGTATTTCATTTTTTTCTCTCTCCACTCTTTCTTTTTGCGCTCTCCTCCCCCTGTCATCACACTCTCCTCTCTGCATTCTATTCATTCCTCTTTTCTATTCTGGATCTAAGTTTTCTGCCTTACTGTCACTCTTTCAATCTATAACCCCCAACCAATTTTTTTTTCTCTCTTCCTGTGATTCATTTAGGGCTGTTGCAGGTTTCTCTAGCTGTGTTGTGTGTCTGTGTGAAGCGAATACTCAGAAATGTCAGTGGGAAGATAGCTGGCTTCCTTCAGAGTGATTAAAACATTCCTTCTCTCTTCTTTTTTCCTTTCTTTCTCCTGTCTTCTCAGTGTTCACTGAAGACTTTCTGATGAAGAGGAGGATGAAGGGAGACAAACTGGTAAGTGAAAGCAAACTGAGCATTAGTTTAGTCATTGCTGACTTTTTCTGTTTTAGAATTAAAGGGAGAAAAATACAGTTCTAAGGAAAATAAATTGTATGTTTATTTTAATTGCTGGTATAAACACTCAATCATGGCTTCACATTTTTTTAATTCACGTTTGACTTCAGGGGGTCAAATGAAATATTTTCAAACCAAGCATGACGTTTCTAAATAATCCGAGTAATAGTATAAGGCTCGAAGCAGGAAGAAATCCAGATCTTAGCGGAAAATATACAGCGTTTTCTCACCCTTGATGATTTAAACTCAACTTTAAAAAGTTTTAATTTCATTTCAGTCTTAATACAATTTTTTAATGGCCCACTTTGATTTGTTTTCATTGAGCTTTGTTGTGTAAAATGCAGAAGATAGTTCAATGCTTTGCTGCGTAGGGCTTAAAATGGCCCAAGTGAGGTAAAATCAGAATGTGGATAATCACAGTTGGGGGAAATAAACTGTTTTCAACCTGTTGGTGGAAAGGCCAGCTGTGGCGAAAAGGGACTACGTTTTCCACTTGTCCTGTGACCAGCTGCTCTAAATTTAGTCATGTAATCATATTGTGATGCGCTGTCCGCACCTTGAAAGGTCTAAAGTGAAAGCGTTTGTGTTAGATCTCTTGGTGGATATTGTAGCAGCCATCCTCACAATGAAAGAAACACTATCAAAGAACTAGAAGTTTGGGAGCGATTTTGTACAGAAATGAATCTTTTAGTGAAGTTGGTGAGAGTTTCAGGGTCTCCACCGATGCATATCTTATTTGTTAGCTCTACCATAATAATAATAAAGAAAATATACATAGTATCTGACTACAAACCCTTTGCTATAATGGAGTTTTGTAAGAATGTACAAGAGACACAGAAATGGATCAATCTTTGTTCTTTACCCACTGGTAGTTAGGGATGTTTTGTTCCATCTAATGAAGATTTGCTTTAGTAATCCCATCTGCAGAAAATAAAATGTTACTTATATTAAAGACATAAATCTTAAACTTTTCATTATGTAAATATCTCTCCGTATCATGTGACTACCTTTCTGTAGCTCATCTATTGGGGGTACATAAACTTCAACTTCCCAGCAGTTTATTTAAAAATACTTAAAACCAAAGTCTCATTAGATGCTCATTTGATTTTTTTTTCTTCTTAGTGTTGGCCAGCTAAGTATAAAGTATAAATTTAGCACAATCTTTATGTTATTATACAACACTTGACATTTTGTATGAAATTGTTGAATTCTGCCATTCTTGGCATACAAATGTCGTATCTGAAGAAGTTAAAACATGGCAACAAACGTGGTAGATTAATTTTCCTATTGGTTAATGTTTTTGTTGTTGTTTTTTTTTAGCTTTAAAACATTTTATCATATTTGGCAGTAATTGTCATTACATTGTGAAAAGAACAGAGCAACAAAATTCACTCTTTGCATTTCACTCTGCTCCCTATTCCCATGGGGAACAGTGGGCTGCCATTGTGTGGCGCCCAGGAAGCAGTGTTGGGTTAAGGGTCTTTGCTCATGGAGCCAGAGTGTCAATCTGTGGGAGTGGGGCTTTAACTCAGAACCTCAGGATTCCAAGCTCTATGCCCTAACCACCAGGCTGCCACTCCCTTTATTATGGTATTAATCAATACAGTTTGAAAAACATATTTTTTTCTGCAGTTGGATTATTTAGCCATATAATATTCACTGTCTCTCTTCCTCTTCCTGACCACACCCCCATTTTATCCCCTCCGCTCATCCACACACTTGGCCATGTCTCAGCTTTGCCCTCTTTGGCTCCATCTTTCAAATTCTGGCCCTATGCTTTTACATTGTGCTTAGTTACATTTGAAACTTGTTGTTGGGATAACTAAGTGTAGGGTGTTGTTCAGGTTATCTAGGTGAGGCATCTGTCCATCTGTTAAACTACTGGCATATCCACTTTGGAGAAACATTTGAAAGACTGCAAAAGTGATGTACGCAGATTTTTGTTTGTGCTTAGCACAGATAGTAACTTATGACCATTCTTAACAGTAATTTCAGATCATTTAGGGGTTCCTCGTTGTTGCATTAACAAATAATGTCTATCTTTGTTGCCTCTCCTCAAAAACTGTTAGATCATAAGTTTACCTTCTTCCTATGTTAAAATGCTCATGGCCACAGAGGTGCCTGGAGGACCCTGGATTAGCACAGGTAAGATAATAGCAGTCTAAATATGAACTGTAGTAAAGATATCCCCCCTCCCTCAAACACCAGACATCATTTAGACTTTGGTTTGTAGGTAAAAAATGGTTGGTGCATTATAGTCTTGATTTAGTCCAGAAATAGCTTTTGAAAGTTGTTCGGTTTGATTTTGTCCCACTTAAGTCCAATAATAGACGTTAAAAAAACGTTGAAAACCCAATTTTTTGTCTTTTTTTAGCTGACTTTTCAATTATCTGAAAATTACAGCTCTTCACCTTCACTTTTTAACCAAATAGACATCATTTGGACATAAATCATGAAATCTTTCAACCAATTTTTGCTCGCTGAGTCAGAAGATTTCTATAATCCATGTTATTTTTGAGTTTGGATCGCTAATCTGAATAACTCAGCAATAGCTAATTTTTGTGATTCACAGCAACATTGCTTTGCTTAAGTCATAAAAGACTTGCTACCTTTAATGTAAATAGGTCAAACGTTTTTGCTTAAAAAGTTGACAATTTTAGTTGACAAAACTTCAGTGTACATCTCTTAAACACTTTGTAAACAAAAATATACAGAGTTTTAATAATGCCTACATAGTTGATTGAATATTGGTCCATATTTCTGTCGTCTATTCCTGCTTATCTCTGCTCATACGGGCTGGTACTTTTCTCTGCAGTCATTGAGCTAGAGTAGGGTTCACCAACATGGTGCCCATGGGCACCAAGGGGCCCTCAAGGACCACATGGAGTGCCCTTAGAGTCTTCTGAAAATAGAATGACTCAACAGTGAGCTACGTTTGAAATTTCACTGTATTCTGTTGCTCTTCTTTTTTTAATTGGGTTATAGAACATTTAATCATTTAATCATATATGGCATTTAAGCAGTTATAGAGATTTCAAAAAGAAAATTATAAATTTAAAGAAATGATAAAGATATGTTTATGATGTATGAAGTTTAGGTGAACGTTGACCCTTGCAATTCATAGGTCAGTATTGGTAGCCCTTCCTGTGACTCAGTACCCCTGAAATAGCCCTCAACTGTAGAAAGGTTGGTGACCGCTGAGCTAGAGGTAGGGTACTCATGAAGAAGTCAACAGTGTTTAAAATATGCTTCTAAAAATAACCCACGTTCTAAAATATATATTTTTTGAAATACTCTTGTATTAGTAGTACACGTAATATTATTTTTATATGCTCTGATTCGCAGTAGGTCTTCTATTGAGCCTTTAACCGCAAGTCTTTTGGAATAGTCTGAGAGTTTTATGAGACCGCAACTGGAAGGAGTGCCGACTGAAATAAGAAAACAAATGGTTTCGTTTAACAGATAATCAAAAAATTTACTTTTCAGTTTCTTTGAAATGTTGCCTTAGTAAGTAACTATTTCTGAAAGAGCTATGAAAAATTGTTGGAACTATGCAAGTACAGAATTCATAAACAAACATAACTGAGTTATAAGTCAAAATATTCACAAGATTTATAAATATCAAAACCTAGATCACAGTAAAGTCACTAAAACCACCAGTTAACACTTTACAATATGAAGTGCTGAGCAAGCTAAACCATCGGAAGAGATATCATTATTTCAGTAAAGTTTGTAATAGAGGAGCAACGAAAATCAAAACTGTGTAAGGCAGAGTTAAAAAATGGTGCTTTGTAGCTGCTGCAAGCTAAACAGACTGAATGTCATTAACATTTAAACTTCTTGTTCTAAGTATAACTTACTACTATTTTTTTTTTGTTGTAAACACCTTTCATAAAGTGTTGACAGTACAAAAAGGCTTCAAAGAAGTCTTGTCTCGGTTGAATGCCTTCCACATCACAAATGTCGGGCTTTGATCGGCTTATTTCAACCTACAGTGTCGGTCAAATGGCTACAGAGGAAAAAAAAAAGCATTTTATGCCCTTTTGTTTTTTGCTGTTTCCTCCTTTAGTCACTCCTTTTATGATGCCTGACAGGTGGTATCAGTTTCTGTAAGATGTCTTTGAAAGGTTTACACACACACACACACACACACACACACACACACACATACACACATGTTACAGTGACAAAACACACTCACTCCCACTTATGCCAGCCTTGTTCCATCAAACCCCCCTCCTCCCCCCACCGTTTACGGTAACTGCGTGTTTTTGTCATCTGTGGGCCTGGATGAAGTGATGATGTTAGTTTTGGTATCAAGTCAATGGCTGTGCATCTCCACACCGACAGATACTGAGAGTACTGCAGTGTGGCAAGGCGTAGGAGGGCTGTGACAGAGATGACTCAGCTCTCTCTGTTGCCGGGCAGAGTAAAGCTCTCCCAAACCCATGCAATACAAAAAAAGACAAAAAGATACTTAGCTAACCAGTCATCGGTCATTGTGGAGCCATCCAGGGTAAAAGTTATACAAATATCAACAGAATATGATTTGTAATTGATTTTGATATTTCGGCTTTTTTGTTCCTTATGATTTTGGAAAAAGTTTAAGCTGACGTACAGCTAACGTCTACAGCCTACATGTATAATTCAAACCTTTGTTGAATAAAAAATATCACTGCATCTATAAAAGCTTTTGGTTGTACCTCAAACCTTTTGCATAATGAAATTGATTCACACCTGAAAACATGCTGGATTAACTCTGGTCCAGTTATTGTTATTTCGGTCACACACGATGGGTTCAATATAGACTAATTTCATCTTTTTTTTGATCTAGCAATACAGGGTTTGATGAAAACACGGAATACTATTTTTTTCAAAAATAATTAGGGTTTAAATTGACCACTGTCAAAAGAGACACCAGAAAGGCTTTTCTTATATGA